GGCCCATAGATTTCCACTGCTCTCCTCTCCTCTGCCTTCTGTGCATCCACGCGTCGGGCACTGGACCCAGCTGTTCCTCCTCTTCCTCATCAGCCGCCTCCAGACCTGGAGGCTGTTGACTCTCCATCTGAGGGCTGACGGGTGGGCCAGGGTCCGCCTCTGTCTCTCTTTCTGACAGCTCCATTCCCTCTCCCCCCTCGGAGCGCTCAGGTTGCCTTGATGCTGACCCTGACTCCCATGCCGGCCCCTCAGCTGCTGGAGGGGCTGGCGGCCGACAGGCCACACCGCCAACATAATACTTCTGATTAACAATGCTTAGGGAACGCTGGGCCCCCTTCTCTTTGAATAGCTAGAGTATTCTGCATCATCTCTGCTGTAAAAGAAATCGGAATATTCCCAAGAAGAAGAGTAGAATAAAGAGAATAGACAGCAAGTAACGGTGATATAAAAAGGACTGCAGTGGCTCAGTGGCTAAGACGCTGAAGCTTGTCGATCAGAAAGGTCGGCAGTTCGGCGGTTCGAATCCCTAGCGCGGCGTAACAGAGTGAGCTCCCGTTACTTGTCCCCAGCTTCTGCCAACCTAGCAGTTCGAAAGCATGTAAAAATGCAAGTAGAAAAAATAGGGACCGCCTTTGGTGGGAAGGTAACAGCGTTCCGTGCACCTTTGGCGTTTAGTCATGCCAGTCACATGACCACGGAGACGTCTTTGGACAGCTCTTCGGCTTTGAAACGGAGATGAGCACCGCCCCCTAGAGTCAGGAACGACTAGCACATATGCGCGGGGGGCACCTTTACCAGTGATATACTTAGGTAACATTACATATAACAAACCCCCCAAAAAACTTAACTTGGAAAAGGGAATGTCCACGATCCGCACGAGTCATTGCACAATAGGATTATCAATTTATTCTCTTTGCCACAGTACAAATATTCACAAATCAATCGTCCTTTCACTGTCAAAGTTTGTAAACAAGTGCCCACATTTCTCCCAAACCCAGGTTTACGTCTGTGAATATCTTAAGAAAGCCCCGTCGCGGTAAAAGGAGCGACGTTTTCCCGCTTGGGTGTGAAATCCGAAACCGCTTCTCTTTGACACACATTTCTACCCAGACGGCCTGTGCAACGCCATAAAATCATAGCGAAGGCTCTGGATTAGCGCGATCTTTAACAACAGGACCCAATCTCTTAGGTTAATAAATGCATTTAAAACGAGGTTCCAGTCCCAGAAGTTAACGGTTAGAAACGCTAACTTCTACGTAGAAACGACCTACAAAAAAAGAAAAAAACCCCGCAACAGTGAACCAACTCGTCTCTTCCTTTATTTTCACTTTGCAAAGATACTTTCCAGTCGGGAGAACAGTAGTGCAATTTTAAGTAAGTTGTACTTCATTCAAAAAGTTATGTTATGTCCAGTACACAATGCCATAGTTTCTATGGAAAGATTAAGAAGATGCTCAGGTAAACAAGGGGAAGAAGAAGAAAAATGGCAAGCCCATGCAGGCTTATGAAGTCCGTTAAAGCTCGTGTTAAAGTGTTGCTGATCTTTTATTTCATTTTTTTAAAATTTTAGAAACGTTTTTATATATAAACTAAAAAAAAAAAAAGCAAAAAAAAAAAAAAAAA